GTGCGTGCGTGCGTGCGTGCGTGCGTGCGTGCGTGCGTGCGTGCGTCGTGCGTGCGTGTGTGAAATATCAAGTAATAGACTCATAATCGTTATATAACGAATGGAACACACACACACACACACACGGGCGGGTGCAAGGGGGCGGCCTTCGGCCTCCGGCCACCCCCCTGCACCCACACCGTCGTCAGAGGTCTGCCCCGACAGTACTATCATATAGCAACAGTGCAATCGTAGAAGTCGTGTGCCCCTTCGCAGGGGGTTGGGGGAGGTGAGAGTTACTTCGCGTGGAAAGTTTAACGTTTCTGAACAAGGAAAGGTGTAGAATTTCGTGTCTGACAACAATATATTTGTTATAATTACCGCTTCGCTTGGAAGTCACACTGTACAATTGAAATAAAACGTAATTTTTCAAACTTTTTTTGATCATAACTTTTTAACGGACAGCGACCGCCACCTAAAACCTGCGGGAGGTTACTCAGAGTCATGACCTTGACAACATATGTCAAGGTCATGATCATCGGGGGTGGCTCCCCTAATCTATATATTTACCGAAGTAAATTACATTTAAAATAATATTAAAATGTCAACATATTTAATTCTAAATTTGAAACACAATAGAAATAATTACAAAAAATTACTTAAAATTAAAAACATGATGCCCGTAACAATTAAGTTTCGACTCCTTGATTGAGTCTTCTTCAAACTTCAAAATAATCTCTTTCGTAGATAAAATTATTATAAATAGTCAAAATATAATATTGTTATTGAAAAATTTAATAATTTGTAAGTTAACAAAGTTTCTGTAAAAATTAATGCACGCAATACAAAATGTTATGTGAATGTTGTAGTTTATAAGAATAAAACACTTACCAAAACAATAATTAAAAAATAGATATAAATTATGTCCATTTGTTCGAATAATATGTGTTCAATAGTGTAATATAAAATGCAGTGCAACGACAATGCGTGCATTTATTAATTACAAAAATGGTGCTTTAATCTTTACAGAACAATGTATTAATTACTATAGTTTTTTAAAAGCTAGACATGTTTTATGGAATGCTTCATAGCCTCATTCTTTTTTATTTCTCTCGTCAGAATATGGTAAAACACAGTTTCAATCGGTCGTTCAATCGTTTGTATAAAAAACGGTATATATTAACACACGTACAAGTGATATATGCTGGCCGATTGGTGAGAGAGTTCTGGTTATTTTATTACAGTTCTAATGTAGTTCTGATATCGTTTAAACATTTTCTAAAGAGTTCTGACGATAAACATTGTTAGAAATTCTTTAAACAACCATTTTCAGTATATAAAAAATGTTTAAGATTAGAACTATAATAAAATAATCAGAACTCTTAGGAATCGGCCAGCATATATATCATCTGTAAGTGTTAATATATACCGTTTTCGGGCAATTTTTTTGGTTTTATAGCTAGAACTATTGATGTATTAAGTTTTAACGACAGAGCTCTTCGGATTCTTGTACTTTACATATCATACGTTCGAAATCCGGTGAGATGCTGGATAGTAAGGCGGGAAGTTAGCATCTCATTTTTTGAAACGTTTTTTCTGGACGTAATTTGATAAAATTATTGATAAAACCGATATAGAACTGTAGAACTATCGTGGATGTAAGCAGAACTGGTGTTATTTCATGTGATGCTGATATATACTATAATATGCTAGCTTCACAGACGTATAAAGAATAGCTTGCTAATATATAGTAAGTGCCTCCGAGGAAGTGAGTGTCTAGGTGTTCGCCGTCGAGGAAGTGAGTACCTAGGTGTTTGTCGTCGAGGAAATGGGTGTCTAGGTGTTTGTTTGTTTGTAAGACACGTCGTCGTCGTCGTCATTGTTGCCAGCTGAAGTGAGGAAATACATTCTGGAATTTTTGGCGCAAGAGATAAATGTGGTCGCGAGACGGGTATCTATAAATCACATCGATGGCATAGACGAACTGACGAACACGTAAGTGAGGTTAGAATAAATATCGACCGCTGCGATCTGTATGATCGTTAAAGTCAGATAAAGAATCTCGGCAATAACAAAGGATTGAGGTTAGGAAATTTATCACATCGATGGCATAGAATAGACGAACACGTAAATGAGGTTAGATATTTTCTGCTTTATTACACAAATTCTCTGCTGTAATTCCACTGTAAGAATACAAATTATTTTCTATATAATTATTTTCTTTTTACACAGCATTTGGTTAGGTTACTTATTTACCGAGACACTACCGTGTCTCCAGATCTGTTATTTATTTGTTTGGTAGATACCTTAATTTGTATTCTCTATTCCTTATATAATTATAAAAGAATTGATTCTTTGTACTTTGTTGATAGGAAAAATCTGAAAAGAAAAAAGGTATGGATTTAAAAGATTCTTCCCTT